ATTCCAACAAAAAAAAAAAAAAAAAAAGAAGTACCCAAAGGTAAAGGTCCTGACAGTGAAGTAATGACCACTTTATTCTCAAATGGTTCAGCAAAAATGAGATGAAGGTACATATGAGCTTGTATGTGTCTAGATCGATTTCTAGCTATAGGCACAGACAAAGCAAAAATGCTAAAACATTAGGCACTAGAAGGGGAAGTGGAAGTCCAGCACTGTTGGTGCAACTTTTTTGTGAGTTTGAAATTTTTTCAAACTAAAAACCAAAAGTGTTCAGGCTATAGAGTCAGACTGTTTGGGTCCTAATTCTCGCACTCTAGTCTTGTAGCATTTAGAAGTTGTTAGCGGCTCCTTACAATGGAGATAAGAGTCCCTACTTTGCAGGGTTGTAACAAAGATGAGATAAAAAACTAAGAAGAGGGCAACCCCTTGGTTCCCCTCCTACTGTGGGAGCTTTTCTGTCCTCTCAATAAATCCTGCTTTTTTTTTTTTTGAGTTGGAGTCTCACTCTGTCGCCCAGACTGGAGTGCAGTGGCCGCTCCCGGCCGCCGCAGCCTCGACCTGCTGGGCTCTGGCGATCTCCTCAGCCTTCCGAGTAGCTGGAACTACAAGCGCACACTATTATGCCAGGTTAATTTTTTTGATTTATTGTAGAGACACGGTCTCGCCAAGTTGCCCAGGTGGGTCTCAAACCTGCGGGCTCAGGCAATCCACTCACCTCGGCCTCCCAAAGCGCTGGGATTACAGGCTGAGCTACCGAGCCCGGACAATCCCGCTTTCTAAAAAAAAAAAAAACAAAACTAAGAAGAATGGCTGATGCCACCAAAGGCATCCTGTGTGCCCAGTGCTATGCCGCATCTGTGAACATCCCAGGGCAGAGCCTTTGTTTCTGACTCAGGGTCATGATCAATTGATGACCACTGTCGGCTGTTGTCACTCCTGGAGCCTGGCATAGCAGGAAGCACCTGGTAGGTGTAAAGGTAAGCTGAGGTTTGACCCTAGGCCCTTCTGCTATGGAGAGTCCAGAAACGGCTGCTACCATCCCTGGCCTCCTGCAGCAGGGCTTCCAGACTCGGACGCACAGGGTTGTGGGAGGAAACTACCAGGAGTCTGCTCACCCCTGCTGCCTGCTCATGATGTCCTGGAGCAGCTTACGGGCAGACAGCTGGCCCAGCACCCTCCGGTAGCTGTTGGTGAAGATGGCGTCTGCGTACCGCCGCATCCTGTGAGAAGGAAGTCAGAGGTCAAAGGACGGGGCAGGGGCGAGGCGAGAGGACTGTGGGGGCTGCGAGAACCTTCTGCTGTCCTTCATCCCGCTCACCCTTGAAGAGACTCTGACTTGACCTCTCCAGAGCTCACTGTCTGCCCTCTTCCCTAGGACGGGCAGCAAGTGCTGCCCGAAGAAAGCTGAGCCAGCCGATGGCTTGAGTTTGCGTCCTTTGACGCCCACCCCCAAGCGGATGGCTGAGGGGGACATCTGGGGCCTGCTTACCTGAGGGGCAGGGAGGGGGGCGGGGAGCCATGGGAGCTGCTGCTGAGGGCGAGGAGCACGAGGAAGAACACCCAGAGCGGCATCCTTCACCCCTGGGTGGCGCCTGCAATGTGGCAGGAAGGGGTGAGGCACAGCCACAGCCACGGGGGTGCCCTTCGCTGGCTGGGCCCAGCCCGGGGCTTGGCTCTCCGACAAGCCTTGGTCCTTGTCCTCTGGGAGCTGTGGATGAGAAGAAGAACCCGGACTCTGAAACCCAAATGGACCCAGGCTCCAGTTCTGCCTCTGCCAGTCACCAGTTCTGATTTTGTTTTCTCCATCTGTGAAATGGGCATGATAAAGCGATGCCGCCAACTGCTTAGGGTTGAAAAGAAACCCAGTGATAATAGTCAAAGGTGTTAGAGGTGGGACTGGGGCCTCAGCAAGGGATGGGAGAGGAGAAAGCACCTCTCTTTGGCGCCCCAGCCACTGCCACCAGTGTGGCACTGATGGCGGGGAGCAAGGGCGACTGCTCAGCTCTGAGTCAGACAAAGTTGAGTTCAAATCCTCGCTCTACTACTGTCTCAGGCTGTGCATCCCAAGATGAGTGGCTGCACCTCTTTGGGCCTCAGCTTCCTAAGCATGAGATGGAGATGTGACCATGCCTCCTGCCTCGGGTCCTTGTGAGGGCCACGGGAGAGGAGGCACCTGACTGAGCAGCTTGGCACAGAGCGGATCCTCTGCAAACCTTGGTGCTGGTTACCTAGTACCGACTCCTTAGGCAGGTTCATTCTGGTTTGACTTTGTGGGAGTTGGAGAGAGAGGAGAAAGGCTATGAGTCTGTCCCAGGCACTAACATGTCACAGAGAAGCCTTAGTCCTGGAAGAGACCAGAGAGGTTGGGGAGCCAGGGGACAGGATCATTTCACAGATCATGTAATTAACCTTCACTGTTGATACCGTGCTCCCCAATTAGGGGAAGAGCAGTCAGCAGGGACAGAGCCTAACTCTGCTGGGGAAGGTGGTGCCACTGTCAACCCAGACTTGCCCCGGCCTGGACACAGCTGGCCTTGGACTCAGCACCTAGGAACGGGGTCTTCCCGTCTCTCGTGAGCATTCCCCTCCCAGCAGGGCAGCTCTTCCGTGGGGACACAGACCCATCCAGAGGCTGGGCTACCCAAAGTGGGGCAGCAGCCCTCCCTTCACACGAGCCCTTCTTCATCCTGCACTGGTGGAATTGCCTGGCTTTTCTGGGCTTACTTGCCCTCTCAGGGCATCATTCCCCTAACCCAAGGACGCCTTGGGCCCCCAGGCAACACACAGAGGGGCTGCTCACTGTGGCCTGCAACCCACGTACCTCCAGCGCTGGAGGCGGCAGCAGTGCAGGCCTCAGTGGTCACCCTCCCCCTCTGAAGTGCATCCCCCTGCACATACACTGGTTGTCCTCCAGTTCGTGCTCTGACTGGTGAATGACAGGGAGCTCACTACCCCGAGCCAGTCTGACTTACTTCCAGGCAGTTCTTATTGTGGGAGATTTTTTTCTCATTTCGTCAAGCCCAAATCCCCTTCTGCAAATATGTGTTAAGCCTCTGCTATTCTGGTAAGGACCGGGACTAGAGAAAAGCCAAGGATGTGGTGTCTGCGCAGGGCTGCTTCTGTGCCAGTCACTGCTGTGCCCTCTCTAGCTCCTGCACCTGTGGCAGTGACAAGCCTGCAGACTTCTGCACCCGACAGAGTCTTTGCTCCTCAGGCTGCGGCTCGGAGCTTCTGCCCTCCTTGAACCGCAACACATCTGCCCCCCTTCATCCAGCCTGGCCCAGGCTGCCCCTCCAGAAGTGACATTCCTTAGCCGGAGATCCTCAAGCGAGCAGAGCCCTTGTCCAAAGCTTCTCCTTCTCCCATCGGCAGTCTGACTGTCCCTCCTTTGCTGTTGTTGTTTTAAAGTCATGGTCTCACTCTGTTGCCTAGGCTTGAGTGCAGTGGCACACTCATGGCTACTGCAGCCTCTACCTGCGGGGCTTAGGTAATCCTCCCACCTCAGCCTTCCAGGTAGCTGGAACCATAGGCATGCACCACCACACCTGGCTAACTTTTTTATTTATTGTAGAGACGAGGTCTTGCCAAGTTGCCTTGGCTGGTCTTAAACCCCTGGGTTCAGACCATTCTCTCACCTCGGCCTCCCAAAGTGCTGGGATTACAGGCGTGAGTCACCGTGCCTGGCTGCTGTTGATCTCATAAAGATTTGGCATATCCAGGCCCCAGTCAACTCACTCCCCTGCACAGAAACCCCTTGGAGCCCCCCACCCTCCAGAGTGAATTCCTTCTTGGCCTCCCTCTGCCTCCCGACCTCTTGCCCCTTTTCCCTAGGACTGCTGTAGTGATTTCCAGTCTCTGTGCCCTCCTGGACCCCACAACCCTCCCTCACACTCGCCCCCAGAGCAGGTGGCCCCATCTTCATTTTGCAGCCGAGGAAGTGAACCCAGAGAGGTCTTTCCTGGGGTCCTCCATCAAGTCAGTTGCATAGAGGGCACTTAGAATGGGCCTCCAATTCCCAGGCAGCAGACTTCCTCCTGCTCCCTGCGGCAACCTCTCAGATACAATACCCTATTCACAGCGCTCCCTATTCATGGGCACTTCAGAATTCATCACCTGCGCATGGGAAGTGGTTCTGAGAAACCGAAAGTTTTGCTCTTTGTCACTGGACCTCTGGGGAAGAAAGAGTAGAGACAGGAACACCTGCTTGACTGGTATCTCTCTGTGAACAGCAAGTGGTTTCAGGAACTCAAAAACAACCTTAGAAGAGGGCAGACCTTGGGGGCAAGTCAGAGGAAGTACAACAACACCCGGCTCATCCCAGAGGAGGCTGAGGGGGAGGCGGAGGATGCAGTTAACCAAGAAGCTTAACATCTGCCCGAACCATGTGCCCAGGGACAGGGCACAACACCACAGCTCCTTCTGGGCTGTGAGAAGGTAACCCACAGGGCTGCATATCCCATGGGACACAGATGGGAAACACTGGCTGGTAATATTAGAGGTTGTGTCACCAAGGATGAAACAGCTGTTGACAGACACATTCCACACGACATGCTAAGGAGCCAAAATTCAGTGACTTAAGTGTAACATGAGCCCCTCGGCATCACTGACAACACTTCAATGACTGAAAGAAAGCATTTCAGAGTTTATGGTCTATCGCTGTGATGGCAGCTGGCTTTCTGCAGCACTGACTGACTCTGCAATTAGATCTATCTGAGGTCACTGGATTTGGGATAGATGGCCACCTGGTCTACATCCATTGGCACACTTTGCCACTCTACATGCCAGGAATGCCATGAGAATTCTTCAGCTAATGACAGAGGTCAGGTTTCAAGCACCAAACCTTGCAAGGCCACTTTGAAAATCTAGGAGAGCATATCTTTAACCTTTCGTATGTATTCAGCTCTGAAATTTGAGAACCCCAAAGCTTTGACATCCTGATCCAGTTTATAAACTGTTTCATCAACAGTGTTCCAAGTTGAAGGAAATCTAACCAGGGAGCATCTTGAACTGTGATTTGGAGGAACACCCACCTTCTAGAAAGGGTTTGAGGCAGCTTCTGGCGAAAAGCACAAATACTTCAGGACGATTAAAGCAAGGAGACAGAGCAGGGTAACGGAGGGCTTCAAGAGCAGACGATTGTGTTTGAAACCTACAGCAAAGAGTATGGCTGCAACTGAGCAAGAAGTAAAGTGTTATCAATTTATAGGCAATTATGTTGACTTGGTTCTGAGCAGTCGATGAGTGGTATTGATCTGCACAGCCACTTGGCTCTTCTCTGAGACATAGCAGAATGCCGGCATTGATGTTGAGTTGTGCCCACTCGAGTCTTCCCCAGAAGCCCACCCCATACCCTCAAAGAAGCACCGAGACCTCACATGCCTTCAGCAGCACGGGAGCAGGTCGACCTGCCATTCCGCATGGGATGAAGTGCCACGCGCCCAAGACCGGCCAAAAATGGTGCCAACCAACAAAGCATGTTCCAGAGCTCCTGTGAGGGGATGTTCTATCCAGAGAGTGGCCCGAGTGTGCTCAGCAGTCCACAGGCAAAGAAGGTGGTGGAGGGCCCCTTGGCGTCAGTGTCGATGCTTCTTGCTCCCCCCCAACCCCCACCCAGCTCCGGGGGCCGCCCCTCACCTCTGTGGTGGCAGGTTTCCCTCTCCACGGCACCGCTCCAGTCCTCAGGCCTCAGACTGGCGTTGGCTCCGCAGCTGCACTGTGCTCCCATCATTTATACCTTCATTTTCCTAAGCGTCGCCAACGTCAGAATCAATTACCCGCATGTCCACCAAAGGGCCATTTTTAGCATCACACTGACAAACCCCAATTGGGGAAAGAGGCTTTGCCCCTTGCACATTAAGACTCCTGTGGAACTTTCCCTCCCCGAGGAGGCAGACAGAGTTGTAATATTATTCCACGAGGAAGAGAGAGTGTAATACCTGCTGCCTGATAATTGGAGCATTCAGAACAGCAATGCTCCAGGGGCTCATTTCTTCTCTGAGATGAATGTGCCTTTTAAAAAGTTCATATAAGTTGGTTCTGTTCATGGGTAACTTCATTTCACTTTCGGGCAGACACCATCGCAAATAAGTGTTTTTCTCTCCTTCATGAGGAAAATTGTTCGCCATCTCCCCTGTCGTCCAATTATCAGAATTTTCCTCCATTTGATTTACACCTGCTGTGGTCACAGCCGAGTCCAACAGCCAGCCTGGGGAGCACCCATCATCATGTGTCAAGACAGCCAGACAGCAGCAGTTGCCTCAGAGAAGTGTGAAGTGAGAGGAGATGGAAAACCTTGGGAGAGTTGCTGTGTTTCCAGGTTTCTCTAGGCTATAGCTAAGAACTCTTCAAGAATGACATAAAAGTATACGAGGCAGAAGCTCTGGTTTCCCACGCGGCCCTGGCAGAGGTGTGGAAGGAACGCCAAGCCGAAGTCTTGAGACCAGCCGCCTCTCCCGAGCTGTCAATCATGACCTCACTGATCCTCAGCAAGTTACTTCTACCCCCCAGGCCTCAGTTTCTATGCCTGGACACGCCGGAGCTGGCACAGAACAGCAACTTTCAAACTTTTTAAAAAGTGGCATAACCCTTTC